TACCATGAGACAGCAGAGCAAATTTTCTCATCTCAGCTTCCCCCAGAAGTAAAGCAGAGGGCGATGGGAACAAACCAAGGCAAGGGCTGCACCTACAGCTGTCACCTTCCAATAAGAACATCTCCAAATAATCAAAAATGCTATTACATTATTGCTCAGGAGATCGGAGGTAATTAGGTGAAATCTCCATCTTGCATCCAGATGAAAATAATTAAAAAACCAGTGGGGTGACACAGGGGACTAAAAGCAAATCAGTACCAGGTCCCAGGCAGAGGCCGTTGGGCAACTTCGTGTCAGTGGAAGTGGGATCCACATGCAGGCACACCAAGGAAAACTGGCCGGCACATAAATAATAACAACTCATGGATTAGCTCCGAATTATTTGGCTACAAGAAGTGATTCCTACAGTTTGTGATGCAGTTTAAATCCCAAATCTTTGTCCACACAAACGCCTCCTTCTCCAGTCAGGTAACTGCAGCCCAGAGCAGCCACAACCCTTCAGTCACGTTCCTACAAACACAATTAATTAATGAGCTTAAAATCGGAAAGCGAGTTGAATCAAAGCAGCAGCACCAGCACTGCTGCACCTGGCTGCACATTTCCTTTGCCCAGATGAGGAACGATGCCCACATAGCAGCTCCATCAGCTGCAGGACCAAGGCGAAGAGTGCCTTCAGAGCCCGAGGCTGCAAGGTGGTCCCCCTCAATCCACCCTAAGGGGACCCGGAACCATTCCAAAGTCCCCAAATCCATGGCTCTCATCAACACGTAGCAGGTCATTTCATTTAGCCATTAATTCCACTCTGCACAGACAACAAAAATGCTAATCCTGGACCTAATCATCATTTTGCCTTGATCACTGTAATCTTCTTCTCTCTGACTCTCCAATTATCCCACTCTAATTCATACAGAATGTGTCTGCCAATTTGATCGTTTTCATAACCATGGGCTGATTGCATCTCATCCCCTTTCAATCCCAATAACGTTTTTTCTTCCCTACCCCTCCAAGTTCAGGCTTCCCATCGCCGTGCAGAACAGCACTTTGGTTCCTGAACTGCTCCTACACCTCAGTGCCTTCTGTTACACCACTGTGTGTGTTCTTCTTCTGCCTTTTTTCAGCTTTTTATGCCATTCTCTGTGGCACCCTTCACTCTCCGGATGCTCCCCACACATCCGCCCACAGGACCTCTGTGGTTCCTCCAGCAGCTCAATGCCTTCAGATCTTCTCATGGATGCAGTGCAATGGAGCAGCTGGATGGCAAAACCACAGCCAAGAGGCGGCTGGAGCCGCTTCCAATGAATCTACCCCGAAAACACCCAAGATCTGGTACTTTCAGGACAAAAGATGATCCTATAGACCTGAAGGATGCGTGCCCTCCCTTCCCACTGTTCCACCAGCACACAGAGCCTCATCATTTCACCACCAGCTCGGAGAAGAGGGCAGCGGACTCACAGAGCGCTGCTCCCAGAGGAGATCCTCAATGTGAATGAGCTTCATTACACCTTCGTGCACCAGGCCAGCAGTGCTGCTCAGCCATTCCTCCCCCAGGGCTCACATTCTGCAGACCCACAGCTCTTCCCACAGCAACACCCACACGTTTCACTTACAACGTGACAAACTCCATTTCCCACTCTATCCCAAGACATCCTGCCAGCTTTCATCCACAGGATCTTCGCTGAATGCAGATTTTGCTACACCAGGAACTCTCTAGCACCAAACATCCGCGTGGCCATACAGACCACCATCCTCACCACCTCCCCAGAGTGAAACACACCGAGCTTTCAGCCACTTACCCCACAGATCTCAAATCCCTCCTCACCAAACAGAAGCATTTTCGCACCTCTTCAGACTTGTGCCACCTGGGGGTTGAAGGCTGAGCAGGGCGATGGTTCTCTCATTCATTCTCACTGCTGTGTTGGCACATCCAACTCAGCACGGATTACAGAACACAATTAAAGTCAACAATCCACACAGCACCCCCACCTCCTTACAGCAGCTGCTATGTAAGCACATGGGCTACGTCCACCTTTCTCCTGTGATGCTGCTTGTAGTTTCTATCCATGAGGCTGCCCCACAAACCAAGCAATTAAACCCCCCCCCCTTTAACTTTAAACTCCTTAAAACAAGTCTCTTCCTTTTGTCAGTTATGACTTCATTTTTTTCTTTGCTGTTCATTATCGCTATGACACGCTGAGCTTTTCAGATGACTGCTGACTGCCTGTAGCAACAAAACGTAACTGGAGGCCAACAAGTTGGATTGCTTTCGTTTGGAAAACGCGATACACAGAATCCTCCCCACCCCCCTCCCAGCATCACAGAGCTCAGAGCAGCCACCAAAGCTTTCGTTTTCGAGTAAAAATGCTTCTCCAGAACTCAAGTAGGCAAACAGATGATGATTTTAGAGCCCATCTCCACCCATATGTTCAGCCAGCTGCCAAAACTTCCCCATTCACACTGAGGCAGCAGCACCAGGGACAGCCTCCGGGTCCTCACGGATGACCACGTGCAGCACGCTGGCTTTCACCCTTTACATCACTTCCCACATTCTCAACGCAGGTGCACTCAGGAGAGCAACCAAAACAATCGAGCAAAGAGGTTCTCTGCTGTGTATTTAAGTGCGTGAAGTCAAAGCAGACACATCTCAGCAGCACGCCCTGCAGTTCCAGCTCCCCACATCTCCCCATGGCACGAGGAAGCCGGAGCAGGAACCCATTGCTGTGCTTCTTGTTCAGCTGCTGACAGAACACAGCTCCCTAGGAAGGGAATACATGCCCTGAGGCCATGGATGGAAACCCACATTCCAGGCTCTTTCTACTTCTCTGCAGAGTAATTAACGGAGTGAAGGAACCACAAACCAAGGGTGAGCAACAGAAGTTACTGAGGCTGGAGATTCACATTATCGTGGTGTTCCAGGGGCTGAAAGGGGAAATCACCTCATGCAGCTCCTGGGCAAAGCAGGATCCCTACAGGAGGGGCACACACTGCATGCATCATGCAGTACAAAGCAAAGGACAGCAACACGTTTTGGCTTCTGAGCTGAGAAACGGGTCAAGCTGAGAACCATGAGGCTCAACCATCACATCCGAGCTCATAAACAGGACCAAAAACGCAACAGAAGGGCAACTTCCAAAGCATGATCGGTGGGAGGGGGATGGCACACAAACACAGAGACCCACGAGGTGCGGAGCCAACCCAGCAAACCCCCCCAAAGTGCAACAAACCACCCCGATGTTTCATTCAGAGGGCGGTGAGGCACTGGCACAGGTTGCCCAAGGAGGCTGTGGATGCCCCAGCCCTGCAGGCATTGGAGGCCAGGTTGGATGTGGCTCTGGGCAGCCTGGGCTGCTGGTTGGGGACCTGCACACAGCAGGGAGTTGGAGCTGATGATCATTGTGCTCCTTTGCAAACCAGGCCATTCTAGGATTCCATGGGTCCTTATGGTACCCCATGGGTCCCTGTGGCATCCCATGGGTTTTCTGGGCAGCCTGGTCTGGTGGTTGGCAACCTGCACACAGCAAGGGGTTGGAACTGATGATCATTGTGGTCCTTTTCAACCCAGGCCATTCTATGATTCTGTGGGTCTCTGTGAGTCTCATTGAGTCTCTGCGTGTCCCTATGGGGGATCTATGGGTCCCTATGGGTCTCTTGGTGACCCTGCACATAGCAGGGGGCTGGAACCGATGGTCATTGTGGTTCTTTTCAACCCAGGCCATTCTATGAGTCAATGGTTCCGTGGGTCTCTATGTGTCCCTATGGGGGATCTATGGGTCCCTATGGGACTCTTGGTGACCCTGCACACAGCAGGAGGTTGGAACTGATGATCACTGTGGTCCTTTTCAACCCAGCCCATTTTCTGATTCTCTGATTCTGCAGCATGTAACTGCCCCCATCCTCCCTGCAGACCCCCGGCCACTCAAAGCCACGGAAACTCGGACT